TGAAGGCTGGTCTGCATCCTCAGAGGCATCAGTGGGCAGACGCTCAGCCAAAAAGAGAAGCAGGTCCCGGAGGTCAGGCTCACTGGGGTAGAGGAAGTTCTGATAGCCAAGCTCCAAAGGATAGCCTAGGTCCTGGGGGTTGGGAAAGGGTCCCCTATCAGCCAGGCAGATAGGCTCCTCCTGCCCTGGAAGCCCTGGCCCTAGACCCCCAAATGCTCCCACTCTCTAATCACTACCCCCAAAACCTCCCCTTGGCTCCTCAAGGCTTCCAGGCCTCTGTGGGAGCCACACAGTGATTCTAGTCAGTGTTACAGAGAGCAAGAAATAAGATTAAAGCTCTGGTCTTTCTAACTGTGGCTTAAAATCCAAAGATCATAAAAGAGAAGATGGGAACTTCTGGATACATGAAAAGAAATAAAAATTTTAAAGGAAAAACATAATAAGCCAAGTCAAAAGAGTAGTGACAAGCTGTGGGAAAAATATTTGGAAGTCATTTCATAGACAAAGAGCAAATCTACCTAGTAGATAGAGTGCCTAAAACTAAAAAAGTATAAAAGACCAGCGATGCAACAGGAAAATAGGCAAAAGATAGGAACAGACAGTTTACCAACAAAAAATTAAAATAGCCCTTAAACGTATGGAAATACGTCCAACCTTGCTCATAAGAGACATGAATTGAAGGCACACTGAGAGGCTTCACACAAGTATCACTGATCTGGAACAACCTGATGCTTCATTCTCCTGCGGTGCACACTGGGAGGAAGATACTATCTCTAGGGCAGTGTTCCTGCCTGGAACCTGAATCTACTCATGAGAAAACAGAGCGATTCCGACTGTGGGGCATTCCAGGAAACAACCAGCCTGAACTCTTCAAAAGCATTTGTCATCACAAAAGAAACAAAGAAACAAAGGCAAAGTAGGACTGTTCTAGTTAAGATTAGAGTTGTAACAATGAAATAAAATGCGACTCTTAATTAGACACTGTGGTTAAAAAACACAACTATAAAGGATACTTTTGTAACAACTGGGGAAATCTGACCATATTAGACCTCAGAGACTATTAAATTTCATGGGTATGATCATGGTATTGTGGTTATGCTGAAGAATGTGTTTTTTCTTAGGAGAGGCACATTTAAAGTTTTAGGTATGAAATGTTATGATGTCTGACACTTTCAAATGGTTCAGCAAAGAAGTGTGTATGTGTACATACGTGTATGTATGTGTGTATGTATTTATGTGTATCTATATAGAGAGAAAAGAATGGAGCAAAATGTTACAATGTAGGAAGCTAGGAGAAGAGTATACAGGTGTTCACTGTTCTATTTTCATTTTTCTTTAAATTTGAAAAATTTTTCTAGGTACAAAGCTGGGGGGGGTACTATTCTGGGATACCATTTCTCACCTATTGGATGAGGAGCGGGGAATCCAAAAATCTGACAATACATTCAGTGGGAGAGGCTATAGGGAAACAGGCATTCTCTCATAGTGGAAATACAAAATTAAACAGTCCCAGTGAGGGCAATTTCACAAAATCTAACCAAACTATACATGCATTTACCCTTCCACCTAGCAATCCTACTTCTGGAAGTTTACCATGAAGATATGTCTCCAATAATTCAAGAATATATATGTACAAGATTATTAATTACAGCATTCTTTGAAAAATATTGGATATTCCCTAAATGTGCAATCATAAAAGAGTGGTTGAATAAACTATGGTACATACACATGATAGACTACTATGCAGCTGTAAAAAGGAAAAAATGATTAAGATTTTTTTATTATTTGATATGAAATGGTTTCCAAGATACACTGTTAAGCTAAAAAAAAAACCAGCTAAGAAACTAAGTATATACTTAATGTAAAAAATGGTAAATAAGAATATATATTAATATTTGCTATGTCTGCATTTTAAAATACTGTAAAAATATACAAGAAACTAAAGCGATTATAGCAGACAAGTAGGGATAATGGGGTGGTTGGGCGTATAAGTGAAACATCTCAAGGTATCATACTTCTGTCACCCCTTGGTAATCTTTTCTACCCTTTGAAGAATTAACTACCTTCTACCTGATTCACAATTCTTTAATATTAAGATATCCCTATTCTATTCAAACGACTGCTGGGGTTTCTGTCTCAGAACTTGACCCTGGTTGATAAAATAACCTACTCAAAACAATAAATAATTTTTTAAAAAGAGACTACAGGCTTCAGAGTAAAAAAGATTGGGGTTGAAATCCAGCCTGTGCTACTTACTGGCTATAAGGCCTTGGACTGGTTATTTAACACCCAGAAGCTCAGTTTCC